TTTTTTTTTTTTTTTTTTAGGAAATGATGGAAATTATACACGTGAGAACAGAGATCTACATCTTATTTGCATGGAAACCTAACGAGGTATTGGTGGTCACGTGAGCAGAGCCCATTCTTCAAACCAAAGAATGAGACGGCTCCAGAAAAAGGGGGACGCCTCGTTTTCTCGAACGAACAAAACCACAGCCGGTAAAACGGCGTAAAATAGAAAAGACCTGGAACAAAATGGAGCGATCTAACAGCCTGCAGCAGGTCTGATCTTAATGACGACACATACTGGCGGTCCAGTTACTGCTGGATGATCGTCTTTGACGTAAACCAGTACGGTTGATTACTTCGAAACAGTCGGATTAATCGTTCGTGCAATATGAGTGAAAGAAAAAAAAAATGAAAGGAAGATAGAAGCATAAATAATACGGAATGTGCAACAACGAAATAAAAATATTCTCTCTAGAATATACCTTCGTTTGCATTATACTGCAAATGAAAAAATATATCGAGATGCTCCAGTTTCCTTTGTTTTTGAAAAGATACTGATAAACTAAAAAGTTTTTTGACCCGATTTACATATTTCTAAATATCATTTATCAATTCTTTCTTCAATTTATTTATCGTCTCTCTTTTATGAAACGTATATTTTAATATTATTTCGTTTCTTTTATAAATTTTTTTGAAATACTATTTATTCGATTGAATGATTTAATTTCTGAAGAAAATTAACATAGCCTTTTAAAAATTTCAAGAACTCTATTAGCATTGAAGTTACGTGCTAATAATGATAAATATCAAGAATGGATATGGTGTAAAATTTATCGTGGTTTTTAAATAGCAGCGGAAATTATCCTTTTAAAAATCTTTTTCAAATAATAATTATAACTATGTGATTTACTTTTTAGGACTTGATGCAATTTTTTAATACTTCAGAAACTATTATGTTGAAGTTATCTGATAACAATGATAAATCAGGATTAGGTATGATGTAAGACGTTACTGCGGTTCGTAAGTGGCAGCGGAAATTATCCTGGTCCTATCCAAGATAGATATCATGGTGGTCGACGATTAATCAAAACACGACATCGTTCACGAGGAGAACCGATATTCAATTACCACAAAATTATCCTTACATATTAAGATCGTTGAGACCTGCTAACTGTATTCCCAAGTTCCTTCTATGAGTTAGGCTAACGATCGAGAGAAGTGGATTAATAGGCATAGATCCTGTTAATTAGAAGACAATAAACTGTAAGAATTGCCATGAAAATAACAGTATTTAAGTAAAGAATTTCTTTCTTTCAATTATACTTCAATTATACAATTTCTTTTGAATGAATTCTATTAGATATTCACTTGAAATCAACTCAAATACTTTACACATAATCAAGTCAAATAATTTCATTTATATGAATATATCTATGAATCAAAAGTATATAAAATAAGTCAAGTTAAATTTAAAATTCAAGGTAAAAATAATTCTTTATCCTTAATTCGTGTACAATTATTTTTAACCGTATGTCATATTCAATATCCAATCGAATACGTTGAATTTCTAGAAGAAAAGAATCGGTAATAGGTTTATGCGGATCGACATGGGTACCCGGGCACCGTCGCCAACGAGAGGAAAGGACGAGGCACCGAAGGCTCCAGGGCAACCACGACGAGTCTCCGAATCCGATGTGCGCTCCAGCCCGATCAATAACACGGGGCGTGCACCACACCGAGCCACCCTCTTCCTTCTTGCCAGCCAGGGGTCCTCGTTTGGTACCCCGGCTGACCTTCGAAATTACCGATCTATCGTATATATACAATCGTTTCACATTTTAATCTTTATTTTCTTTTTCTTCTACTTGTTATATATTTCACTTAAAAATGTATATTATTCATATCTTTGGAAACAGAGGTTACTTGGAATTTTCTTGCCAGAGACAACGCCCTCTTAGATTCTGGAAACATTGTTATTCTAAGAGAAAAATTTATTTTGAGAGTAAGATAAGAAAGGAAGGAAATTTTTAGTTATATTCTTTTGTTAAATAGTTATTTTTGAAAATAGATAAAGATTGAATATTTAGAAATTATGGAAGAGATTTTATTGATTTTGAATTTGTTTTAAAAAAAAAAAGAAAGTTTTTATATTCTTCTATTAAATAGTAATTTAAATAAAAGATAGAGATTGAATGTGTAAATTAATATAAATAGAATAGATAGAAATAAGATAAAATATTTAAAAGGAAAAGAAGTTTTTGAATTTTGTTCTTTTAATAAATAATAATAATTGAATTCAGTTTGAACGTTTGAAGAATTCAGGTAGAGATTAATTAGCAGAATATTTGGTTTTATTATAAGTTTTATCGAGAAAGATCTATTCAAAAGACCTCTTTTCAAAACCTCTTTTCAAAACGTGACTCATTTGGTATGTACAACGCGAATTCATAAAGTCAAAAGAACACGATTAATGTAGAGACACGAGTTATACATCAAAGCAGTTTTCCATCGAATCTATAACAGACAACTCGTGGAAACCAGTTGAACATGAATCACGGAAAAAATACTATACTATACTAAATCTCTTTAAAAGATTACTCGAATCAAGCAAATAAAATTATATAATAAATATCATTTATATTAAAAATTTCGAAATTATATAGAAAATATAAAAAAATAAGATAAATGATACAGAATTCTATGATATGAAAAGAAATTATACACAGAAATAGAAAAAAATTAAAAATAAAAATCCTTTACATTAAAATTAAAAAAAAATTAATTCTTTTATAGAACATTTATTTAAAAGAAAAGATTAAAAAAATTATACGACTGAAATGATGTAATCTTTTATATATATATATATATAATCTTTACAATAGAAAAAAATAAAAGAGGGTCATACGACTTCGACCAGGTGGAAAGGGTTAAATCGCTGACTCGGAATAAATTTTATTGTACCGTTATTTTTTTTCTTTTTTATTGCCTTAATTTGATTTAATCGCGTAACCCTTTCGTTTTATTTTATTTTTTCTCTCTCTTTTCCATAGCACGACGCC